AAAGATGAAGAGTAAGAAGAATATGGAAAAGAGTTGGAATGGTTATGCTACTCCATCTGCATCAGTCCAAGTATTCACATACAACAAGTAAATTGGGATAAACAAGCAGGCAGATGGAATGAAATGGATATGAGATGCCTGGAAAAAGGGATTATCATCATTTAAGTATGGGTCGAGCCACATCTAACAAAGGAATGTCCTCATCCAATCCCTCAGTCTGCTGATTCTTAACTCTAAAGACATCATTCTTATGGGAGATTGGAACGCGGTTCAAAATCTTGGCTTAGACCGCTTGTTTAGTTTAATGGAACCAATGATGGAGAATGGAAGCCTATTGGACTTCATGGAAAAAAATATCTTCATGACCCGATATCCCAATATCATAAGGGGAATTGCTAACAACAAAATATTATTTTCGGGGATTGAGTTTTTCGTCAGCTTTGCATCCCCACTACATGGATTGCATTATTGTAGAATGGAAGATACCCGCTATGACACCGACGTTTAAGTAATGAGATCCTCAAAGAATGATCCAATAGGCAAAAACTTCTACCGCTTCAACAACTCTCTCCTCAAGTCCCAAGAGATGCAGGGAGAAATCCACAAAATACTAAGCACGATTGCACAATAGGAAGGAAGGGAAGAATGCTATCAACACAAAATTGCTACTAAATCTAAGAACTAGTTGTAGAGAGAAAGGAAAGAAAGGACTTATGAAAAAGTATTATTGAGATAGCATAAAAGAATCTTATGCATAATCGCAAATCTTATTTTTCACAGATCTCTACTTTAGGTCTAAATAATGGCGAGATGGAACAAATGGAGGTTGAAAGGTCTACGACTTAGCGCACAGGTCATATATTGGGAAGTGAATGAGAGGATGACCTACATTTTCTTCCAAAAAACAACATTTGAATCCATAAATGCAATAATTGAAGGTCCACCTAACAACCAAGATAAAATTGTTACTTGGACCACAATATATGAAAATTAGCAATAAGTTTTTTGCAAGAACTATACACGAGTAAAATACCCGGAGAAATCTTATAGCACACGAGATAGTTAAGTAAAGATTTTTACACACTTGGACAAAACTCTATCAAAAATAAAATAAAAATAGAGGTTCTTATTATTTCATACATAACTCGAAAATTCACAAAATTCAAGAGGGTCTGAAGGACAAATGGATTATTCATAGAGTTCTAGGTTGTTGGAGGGAGACAATGAGGACTATCATCACATGTGTTTCTCACAAAGAGCATATGAGAAAGATAGGTTAGGTTTGGAGCTAAGTGCACAAGTAACTACTGTATTATATAACAAAGGAGACAAAGAAAATTTAATAATTATAGGTAGATCTTGATAGCAAGAGCATACAATATTTTACTGAATGTGCTAGCAACAAAAATAAAAATTATAACTCCAAACATCTCTATTCAAGACCAAACCGGCTATGTTTCATACAGATTCATCTTGGTTAATGTCATTCACCGTAAGAGAATTATGAACATCAAATTCATGAGAAGATGATTTGATGTTTCTCAAGAATGGAAATAACTATAAATTGCAAAACAACAGATAAAATTATCACATTCCTACTATGAGTTTTACCATTCAAAAATAAAAATATTTAAGCATATATTTTTAAGTCATTGGGTTTGAATATTGTGTTGCAAGAAGACAAAGAGAGAGGAAAAATACTTACTTAGAAAATTTAAGATTGTATTATTGTATTATAAACTAGGCTACCAAAGTGGTCCGGGGCCACTTGCCCGGCCGGACAAAAAATATATATAAAAAAAAATAGAAAAAATATTTTTAAACTTTATTTTTTTATTTAAATGTGGTAAAGAATTTCGATGAGTCCCTGAGGCAAAAGTTGTTCAGTTTATTTTTTTGCATAACATAGTTTTTTTTCGGTTTTTGTTTTTTTGTTAGGACCTTCCCTGGGCCTTGCACGGCCGGGCCGTCCGGGAAAATCGGGTGACCCGGGCGGCCCGGCTGGTAGCCTAGATTATAAATTAAAAACTAAAAATTTATATAAAACAATCTTTAAAAAAAAAATTCTCATTAATAAATTATGTTTTTTTTATTTTATACAAAGCAACCAATAAAAAACAATCTTCAAGACAAAGCGACCAAGAAAAGACAGTCAAAAGTATCTCCGTTGTCTCCAATGAGAAAACAATAAAATTATAGTTCTCACGCTATATAATCAGGAATACAATAAACATATTATAACAAACATGGAGAAGGCTTCATCTTGACAAAAAGAAAAAATTATACTCCTTTTCTAACCTTTGATTGCAAAAATGATAGTGACATATTCAATATCCATGTTCTCGTCTTGCTCACTTACACCATTATTAAACTCCTTTGAGCCACTGCTCGCTTCTAAATGTATCTCCTTGAGCAGGACCCGGACCTTGGAGATTTTAACTGTTAAAAAACTCTCTATATACTTGATGACAAAAATAATACCAAATTAATATTTGGTAATGTGTTTCCAATATCAATATTATAACTTCAGTCAGGTGGAATTCGGGCCATCAAGGAACTACAGGCGAGCAAGCAGGACCTTGCTCTTGGGAGATGACGCTTGTGCAAATAGGACCTTGGCCTCGCGGATTTAAAGCACTTATATGTTTCCCAAGCATTTTTTCATAGTCACAACTTGCTTCCACAACTTTCATAGCTAAACCTCTGGAGAAAAATGGTTGGCGGGACCAGCTAAATGGAGGTCCGCACAGGTTTGTTTTGTTTTGGCTCGCAACGCATCTTCAGCCCCGGAGAAATAAGGTACCTCAAAAATACTGGTGGTTTTAACTACCACTCAATTTGGACCTATTTTGTCAAACCAAAGGTACATTTCTCTAAGCCTAAGCTCTACAGGGCCACATCGAGGAAAAGTAGTTGTAGTACCGAACCTGACATTGTAGAGTTTGGCATGGTACTTATAGACAAGCAAAATGACTAGTACAAAGGTCCTTGGAGTGGTGGTTTAAACCACAAGTACATCCGAACTTCTAGGCCCCTTGATGTAAGCCAAGATTATATGAATCGTCAACGACACACTTTTTTTTTCCTTTTTTGTGGGCGTCGTCAACTATCGTGGTCCGGTAGGCCAAACCTTTAAAATTTTTGTAGGCTACAAATTTCTTTTTCAACAAGGTTGGGGTCGTGTACTGACAATTTAAATTGTTAAGGAACTCAAAATAGGTATGATTGTGAAAATAAGAGCATGGCACAATAGATATGACCATTACCAACTTGACATATTTTTGTCTGACCTTGCGTTTAGTTGAGCCTAGTGCACAAGGGTGATAATGTTTTGTGATTCTATGCGAGACGATAAAAATTCTCACCTTGCCTTTTACCCTACTTCCTTAACTGACTTAATTTTCATATTATATGAACTTGACGAGATAAAGATTTTGTCTCAATTTTCAAATTCACATGCAAATGGTTCATGGAATCAAAATAATTATCACAAAAAACCATGGATATATTTATGGGTATACTCTTTACGATTTCGGGTTGGTAGAGGTTGTAAACTCTTACCAAATATCTATGTGGTGGGAATCTCTCACCTCATGAGAGTCGCCACCTCATGCTTCGTTTCGACAACAATGCACTTAATTCTAAGTGCACCACCTTTGACGATTTTTCATGCGAAAATCTTTCATGTAAAATTATGAAAAGGCGGGCATAGACTAAGTGGAAATCAACGTTGCATCTTGTATATATACGAGTGTCTCATGTACACACATAGGTGTACAACTCAATATGCAGCCTTGTATGTGGCAGAAATACAAAAGGAAAACATAAAGGATTTTTTCTTTTAGCAAAAAAATATAGTATGCAACATTTCAATACAAATAACTTTTGGTTGAAAATTGTTTTGGATTTGTAGTCAAATTTGAGTGCAAAGACTCAATATGTCGTATGAGTACTCAATATTGGTACTGCGTGCATGTACGTATACATGGTACAACACTTGTGCAAATGTATACTTTTAAATGTTTTTCAAAATTTTCGTTAAAAATTGTCGGTAGAATAAATGACAAAAATTGGCGCAATAAAACTTTCAGCCATACGCATCGGAGATGCAAGAGGTAGTGAATTTCTTAGGTGTCGAATATTCAGACCAACTATATGTCTAGTATGAGTTTCTAACCCTCGGGGAACTAACCACTCATGTGTCATTCCAATGTCGGTAAGCAAAAGTTTAAGTGCATAAAATGCCACGAATTTGTTAGTTTTGTGTGCACCATTATTGACACAAAGTCTCAGGGGCGTAGATTAAATATGGTATCGAATCAATTGTTTTGTGCAAAATCTTTCGTGTAAACCACTTTGGGAAAAAAATCACCAAAGCTCAAACTTTGAAAATTATGCATACTGCTGGCAAAATTGTGCATGAGATTGCGGGTTCCATTGGAGTAAAAAATATCAGCCAAGTAGATATTCGGGGAATGCATATTAGAGGCAAAATGTACAACGGCCTTTTTGCGCCTCTCTCGACCAAGACAAAGCGACTTGGCGGTGGTCGTCGTGTTCACTGGCGACCTTTGCAGTATTGGCACTGCTCGGTGGAGCGAAGTGATAGAGAGATTGTATAAATGGGGGTGTGGGCTGGTGACAGAGTGACAACGGCGATGAGCTCTGCCAGGTGAACAAGTAGTGGGCACAAAGTGCATCGACACCTTTTCTCTGCGATTCAGTACTTCGAATCCTCGGGCGCCATTGCTTCCTATTCTTCATCCTTTCCATGCTCCTCGTCGAGGAATCGCTTCTCTACTTTCCTTCTCCCCTCTAATCTCCCTACTCTCTGGCAATCTTTGGCCGACCCCCTACTCTCTCTCGAAATCAGCTTTATAGCAATCCCTCCCTTTCGCTCTGCTCGCTATAATCAGGATTGGACTGGATTGTGGTGACCACCTTCCGCCTGTTGTTCGTAAAGGCGTATTGGGTGTGCTACTATCAAAATTGGGAAGTGATCCCGACAAGATTACTCTACTTCTGATGCAAGCGTGACCATCAGGAACGAGTGGTCTTCTTGTTGGACTCCTTTTCGGCAAAATGGAACCGCGAGGGAGGGTGATCATCGCTAATGAGATCCTCATCTTCCTGGAGAAGATCGTTGACGACCAGCCCCCTGAGCATCACCTCCTTCAATCCGAGCAATTGAAGCCAGCGACCTTGGAACGAGTGTCGTCGCGTCAACACCAACAATTACCTGGACGGGTTGCACCGAGGACTCGAACGTGGGACATTTCCTAAACGAGCATGACCCAACCACTTGGAACTTTCTCGACTCGGACGAGTTTTTTCCTGATAACTATGAGCTGGAGGATTTTTGGACAGCTCATCGCGACAACGGGGAGGTGTCATCCGACGACGATCCTGAACCGATAGCGCTCCCCAGCCAGGATGAAGAAGAGGAAGTGGAAGAAGTAGAGGCAGAGTCCACAGAAGAAGAAAGAAGAAGAAGAAGAAGACGACGACGAAGAGGACGAAGAGGAAACAGAGGAAGAGGAAGAAGAAGAGGACAAGAGGAAGAAGAGGACGACGAAGAAGACTACGAAGAGGAAGACGAGGAAGAAGAAGACGACGAAGAGGACGACGAAGAGGACGACGAAGAAGACGACGAAGACAGCGACGAAGACAATGACAACGACGATGGCGATGACAACGAAGAAGAAGAAGAAGAAGAAGACCACGAAGAAGAAGAAGAAGACCACGAAGAAGAAGATGACAACGACGAAGAAGATGACAACGACGAAGACGACAACGACGAAGACGACGACGAAGAAGAAGACGACGACGACGAAGACGACGACGACGATGCCGAAGAAGACGACGACGAAGACGAAGACGACGACGACGAAGAAAGAGACATAAGAACCAACTAAAAACTTGTTGAAATCACCCAAAAAAAGCAAAGAAGGAAGAAGAAGAAGAAGAAGAGCCATCAGCGGAACAACACGAAAAGTTATCTAAACTCCAACACCACGAAGTACCGCCAACAAGTTTGCGGCTAGCCATACCAGCGAATTCGGTGCGGAATCCTGATCTGCCCGAAGAAGCAGCTAGTCGCCACAATGGCGCAGAATACTCCCATCTCGCTCACCATCTCCCTCCTCTGCCGCCTCCTCCGTGGTTCGGCCTCGTCCTCCTCCCCGCTCGAGCGCTCCGTCCACATCCCATCTTCCGCCGCCCTCTTGACTACCTTTCTTTCTCCCCACTTCCCCACGTCGACTTTCCCATCGACGCGTCTTCGTCAGTCAACACTTCTACCGCCACTGCTGTTCGGCTGCTGTGTGAAGTCCACCCCCATACCGCCCCCTCCTTTCCTCTTAATATCCTCCTCTTCAGTGTTGCATGGAGACAATACAACTACATGGAGTTGTATTGTATCATCTCCGGGACTTTCCCAGCAGCGGAAGATTAAGATAACACGGTTCAACCTTCTGACAAATCGGTGAAAGTCCGATTGTGGAGTTGTGTGTAGCCAATATGACAACACACTTATGACACGTGTACAAAGTGAAAAAGAAAAAAGAAAAAAAAGGGTTGCTGTTGTTGCCTGAATAGAATGCCCTGTCGTTATATAGCCGTACCTGGGGCAAGTTCCAGTTCAGATGTAGCGATAATGACCTGTGAGTAGTAGAAGTACTGAGAGGCGGTAAAAGGGAATGAAGTGCAAACACAAAAAGGCCTGTTTTTCTTTCCACCTGCTGGCCCAGGGATTTTCAGCGTTTCCACATGCATGGCACACCAACGGGACGTCTTGCAGCCCAGTTGCCCCCTTTCCTTGAGCCCACGGGCTTCCTCCCCCATTGCGCTACCCACGCTTCTGCAATCCCCAAAAAAGCGGCCGTAAACCAGCCGCATGTTTTTTTTCAAGATGGCCCAAGTACTGGTGGTTTAATGATTGCTTTACGACCTCAGGTCACGTTCGGGAGCATTCTTGTGTGCTTTCTGTTTTCCACCTCATCTTGTCTCTTTCCTATCTCTTCTCCTCCTCTCCTTTCTCGTCTTCTTCTCCTCTCCTTCTTCTCATCCTCTCTGACGTGTGAACTCTGAATGATTGAAGAACAGAGGCTTGTCTGATAATTCTAGCGGAAGATTCATTCTCATTTTGCTCATTTGTTGAGTAGTGGAGTGAGGCCCAATGCTGCCGTAAGAAGGCCGGTGCGCGTACCACCTTTCAGTTTTTGAAAGGTTGGTACTGGGTTAGACCCGGCAAAATGCATTTTTCGGTCCATCAATCTATCTTCCGATGCGCTGGTGGTTTGAACCACCAGTGCCGTTTCCGCTATGTTTTCAAAGGTGCGGCTTGCATGCTGCCAAAATCTTTCGGGGCTCCGCCTCTGGGCCAAAATGGCTAGCAGCACCTGCCAAAAGGAGGCCCGGCTCATTTTTAGACTTTTGGTCCCCGGGCCGAAGTGTCAGGACCGCGACTTCGTCCTTCTGGACGAAGTCCGACCGGATGACCACACGAGGACCCTAAAGTCCCAAATAGGCCTACCCAAATGCCTCAAAATTTTGAGACTTTTGGTCCTCGTTTGAGTATACCCTGAAGGATGGTAAGAAGGTCTAGGAAGACCAGTTGTATGAACTTTTATCTGACAGCCTAATTGAAGGCTATGAGAGGAACAGGCCCAATCTACGTTTTTCCGTTTTTTTTTTTTTTTTTGAGAAAACTACGGCGCCCTGGCGGTCAGGGTTTGAACCACCAGTACTTGACCCAGATATCATGATCGGCCGTGGAAAGAGCAGAAACATTTCTAGTCGGATGAATTTGGGCGCTCTTGTAGTGGCCCGTACGTTTCCTAAAATTGCACTTGTTAACAGGCACAACTTAAGGAAGTACTGGTGGTTTGAGTTTGAAAATGCTCTTCAGGCAAAAGGCCTGATTTTTTTTTTATTTTTTTTTTATTTTTTTTTTAACAAAAGGCCTGAAAATGTTGAATGTATACAAGCCAGGTTTCGGGCCCGGTAGGGTGACGTAGGGGTATGTTATGTTCGGGGGGAATGCCTGAAGTGCATTTTCAAACTGTTTTGGTGACTGCGCCGTATTTACCCCTTTTTTTTTTTTAACTCGTTTCTGTGACTCTACTGAAGCTACCTCAAAAATTAATTATGAGAGGGTTATATCCCTAGAAGGGAAGGAGAATGGATCTCAAAATGTAGGCATACCCGCAGTCAATCCTTTTTTTTTTTTTTTTTTTAACCACTGGTACCTTCGTCGTTTCGGAAAATAGCGGGACTCCGACCTTTCAGCAGGCCGAAACAAAACGAAATGACGGCCGCCAATTAGATTTATCAATGGTTATTCTTTGTGTGGTTTAAAGAGAAACGAATAACCATGAATTCGGGGAGTAGTGAATGCTATCGGCGTCCTCTCTCGTCGTAGAGAGAGAGAGAGAGAGAGAGAGAGAGAGAGAGAGAGAGAGAGAGAGAGAGAGAGAGAGAGAGAGAGAGAG